GGTATTCCCTTAGATGAAAAAAGGGATGAATCCTCTGTATGGAAGAAAAAATAGAACATCAAAGTGGATAAATTGGATATCGATTCCTTTCTTACTGAGGATGGTAATTATGTTCTATTACATTTTGATAATGAAATTAATATTACTAAGAAGCTAAAATGTGCTTTAGTGGTGAAGGTTTTTGAGGACAACATTATGTTCTCAACTATTTGCAATGATTTGAGAAGGCAGTGGAGCAATATCGGCAAATTACATATCACTGGTTTAGGAACTGGTTTGGTGCTTTGTTGTTTTGAAAATCATGGAGCCATGGAAGAAGTCATATCAGGTGGACTATGGTATGTTAGAGGCCATGTGGTGGGCTTGGATAAATGGTCTACATCCTTTTCCCCAACCTCATTGAATGGTATTTCAGCTCCAATATGGTTAAGATTACCAAATTTATCATTGCATCGTTGGGATGACATTAACATCTGTAGAATTGCTTCAATAGTATGTAAGCCTAACTTACTAGATGGGAATTTATTTCAATGGGGAAGGAGAGAATATGCTAGAGTTTGTGTTCGAGTCCCTTGAATGAGAAACTTCCTTTGGGAGTTTGGGTGGAGGGTATATCAGGAAAATTTTAACAGAAATTTGAATATGAAGGTATTGTAAAACTATGTTATGAATGTGGAAGGATGGGTCATACAGTAGCTGTTTGCAAAGAGTCCAAGAAGAAAGATATGAAGAGCAACATTGATTCTGTTGCATCAGGAATGGTTGAGATTTTGAACAATTCAGTGGCAGCAGAAAATACAAAACAGGCAGGTGAAGAGGCGAGTTACGGGCCGTGGCTTCAAGAGAATTATAAAAGGAAGGGGAAGAAATTTGATGTTGTTCAAAGGCAGAAGCAGATCACTAAAATAGTTTTTGTTCCTAAACAAAACTCTAAGGTGGTTGAGGAAGCTGTCAAATTATCAGATAAGGAGTTGATTCCTAATATGGAAGGAGCTTTGCAAAGTGAAGAAGTGCAGGAACATCATAGTGATGACTTGATCAGTGAAGGAATTTTTACAAATCAACCTATTTTATCTCAGGTTGAAGCTTCTATTGCACCTTTTCCTACTTTAAACAGTTTTGATATATTATCAGAGCTGGAAGAAGATATCCTGAAGGAGCTGGCGGATGATAATATTAGTAGAGATGTTGAAGATGGTGAAATAATAGAGCTGGAGAGAAATGATAGCAAAACTCTTATAGCTCAAAAGCTACAGAACAACATTGAGGATAAAATTAAACCTGCTTCCCGTGAGGTGAATTCTTCTTCTAGCAAGAAAGTGAAACTACTTAAAGAATTGAAATCATTGGGACCAGGTAACATTTTTAGTCACAATAGAAAGATGGAGATTGGCAAAATCAAAAATGGTGGGGGTACTTCCCCCCTTGTTCAAACAATGAATTCTCTAGCTTTTTGGAATTGTAGAGGAGCCAAGAAGAGAGAGGATGCTCTATATCTAAAGGAATTTGTTAGAGATAATAATGTTCTTTTTGTGGGGTTAGTTGAAACTAAAGTTTGCTCTATGGAGAATGTACAGATTTTGCATTATCTGGGAGAGAATTGGGACTCTTATATGGTTCCTTCAGAAGGGCTTTCAGGAGGTATCTTAGTTCTTTGGAGGAAGGATTTGGCAACGTTTACTATTTTGGATGTTTTATCTCAAGTTATTACAGGAAATCTGGAGGATTTTAATAGGGAAGGTTGGTTGGTCTCCACTGTTTATGGGAGCAGGAATATGGTGGACAGAAAAGTTTTATGGGAGAAGTTGGAGAAAATTGATGCTGTCAATAAACCAGCTATTATAGGGGGAGACTTCAACAGTATTTTATCCCAGGAGGAAAAGAGAGGAGGAAAGAAATTTTTCTTTTCTCAAGGAGCCAAGGATAAGAAGATGTTTATGAGCAATAATGACTTTCATGAAATTGGGTTTATTGGACCCAAATTTACATTGTGCAACAACAAATCAGGAGGAGGGTGCATTCTAGAAAGACTTGATAGATGTCTTATGAATTCTTATGCAATGGATTCTATCCAGTTAGCTTTGGTGAAGCATTTATCACGAATTGCATCGGATCATTGCCCTATCATCTTGGAGGTGTTCAAACCTATCAATGTTAATCACAAAGACATTCGTTTTGAAGATCTATGGGATTCTTATCATGGAGCTACTGCCATTGTAGAAAAATCTTGGAAGAAAATTGGAGGATGTTATCCATCTTCCTCTTTGGATTTGAAGTTTAAGAGAACTTTGAAGGCTCTTTTTTATTGGAGCAAGGCTAAATTCAAAAGTTTGAATACTTTAAGAGACTCTTTGAAAAAATTGATCTTTAATCTTCAATTGAAAGAGGCTGAAGATATGCTTAATGATACTAAATTGTTGATTCTTAGATCTAAAATCAGTGAGCTGAATTTTACTTTGGCTAGGCTTAATATTTAATGGAGACGAAGAGCCAAGGAGAGGTGGATGGAGGAGGGAGATTCAAATTCTACTTTTCTTAACTCTTTTGCTAATGCTATAAGAAGTTCCAACTGGATCAAACATATTACAAATGCTAATGGAATACTGACGGATTAGCCAGAGGTGGAAAATGTTTTCTCTAAAATTTTCAATTCTAAATGGAAACACAGATAATGTCTGTTGAAAAGGTGGCCGAATCCTTTTGCTATTTTGGATGCAAGCGATCAATTAAAACTGGAAGCGGATTTCACAAAGGATGAACTCCAGATGGTTGTGGACAGCTTGTGTTTAAATGTCTCCCCTGGCCTCGATGGGATTACATTCTCATTTAATAAATACTATTGGAAGATCATTCATCAAGATGTATGGAATGCAATTGAAAATTTCTTCAAGTCTGGATGTATGAATCAAAATTGGAAGGAAACTTTGATAGTTTTAATTCCTAAATTATAGAATCCTCGTTATCCAGCAAATTTTCGTCCAATTAGCCTATGTTTGACCGCGTACAGATTTGTAGCACGAATGTTGCTTAATAGATTGGAGATGGTTATTCACAAAGTTATTTCTAGATATCAAGTGGATTTTCTAAATGGGATATCTTTGTCGGATCATGTTCTCTTGGCTCAAGAGGTTATAAATAAAATACGACATTCTAAAGCAAGGAAAGGGTTTTTGTCCATCAAAGTAGACATGAAGCAGGCTTATGACAGCATGGGTTGGCAAGCTTTGAGGCAAGTTCTTATCCACTTTAATTTCCCTATCAAATTTTTTGATTGGATCATGAGTTGTATATCAAATCCGAAATTTTGTATTTTAATCAATGGGGAAAAATCAAATTGGATTGATGCTAGGAGTGGGTTTAGACAAGGATGTCCCCTATCTCCATTTCTTTTTATCTTCTATTCCCAAATTCTTTCCGATGCTTTTTTTCAAAGTGGTAAGAAGATTGGTATTCAAATTGATTCCAAAGCTCCTAGAGTATCACATTTGTAATATGCCGATGATATTCTAGTCTTTTCTGAAGCAAACTTGAAAAAGATAAAAAAAGGTGAAGAATGTTTTGAAAGAATATGACAATTGGACTGGTCAAAAGGTTAATCACAATAAATCCTTGGTGATGTTTGGAAAAACAGTCAATAGAAGAAGGAAGGCTGAAATAGAAGATGTTTTGAAGTTCAAATCAGTTAAGGAAATGAACTACCTTGGAATTAAGCTCACTCTTAAAGGATTGGTGAAATCAAATTTTAATAATTTGATGTAAATTGCATTGAATAAGCTAAACATTTGGGGTAAGAAATTTATCTCATTGGAAGGTTAAATGGTATTGATCAAATCTGCCTTCTTATCTATTCCAATTTTCTTTTCTACTCTTTCTTTGGTGCCTTTGGGTATCTTAAAAGATTTTGATATATTGTGTAGAACTTTCTTGTGGAATAAGAAGAACGACAATGTGGGGATTCATTATGTTTCTTATAAGAAGCTTTGCCAATCTAAACAAAAAGGAGGTAGAGGGATTTTTTCGACTGCTGCTAAAGTTGGTCATCTAAGGGACAAATTTTCTTTGGAATTCTACACTAAACAAGACTCCTTGCTTAATTGTATTCTTAGAGCTAGATATATATGGAGATGATTTATGGAAGAATCAAAGGAAGGTAGGGAGCTCTTCAACATGGAAAATTCTTTGCAGTGGTGCTAAATATCTTACTAATATAGTAAGATGGAAAATCTGTAATGAAAATTCTATTGACTGGATGCATAATACTTGGATGCTGGACAAAAGTATCTCTAAATGGCCAATGTTTATAAGTAATAAGGAGATTGAAAACTATAGCCTTACTTCTTCATTTCAGATGGCAACTGGTTACAGGAACGTCTCATGATGTTTTTTGGTGAAGAGGTCGTTAGAGTCATTTCAAATATATCAATATATGCGGATCAAGGAGAAGATCAGATTGAGCTTAAATGGAAGTATTAGAGACGGTCTATTGCTACTATCTCATAGGAATCAATCTAGAGGAATGATGCTGACTGTAAATTCTGGAGATGGATGAAGATAGTTAAACTAAGACCAAAGGTTGAATTATTTTGGTGGAGACTTCTTAAAACAATTCCTAGTAACTCTTTCCTTTTTCATAGGAAAATTTCTCTGGTTACAGGATGCCCGAGAGGCTGTGATAGTGAAGAAAATAACGATCATATTGCTGCAGGTTGTGGGAAGTTAAAAAAGGCTATATCTTGTCTTATTAAATGGGGATTTCAAGTTCCTCAATTTTATAGTTTTGAATAGTGTAAAGAAGCTTTGCAAATTTGGTCTAATAGAAATCCAATCATTGTAAAGATTTATTGCAATTTTGTTTTTCTGACTTGGAAGAGTAGAAACCTGTAATTCATGAAGGGAGGGAAGATACAGATACTCTCATCGCAGCAAAATCTATCTCTATGGTTGTTATAGTTCCTTCAATCAACATCCATTAGGAAAACTAGGATGTCAACCAGTACAAGATGTTTTCTTCTTGGCGTCCTCCTCCTCCCGGATGGTTTAAGATCAATATAGATGCAGACTTAAGTAGTAACTACAAGGCCGGTACTGCTGGAATTTGTAGAGATGATAAAGGTAGACTGTTACTTGCATTTGGTACCCAACATGTTCATTGGGATATTGGCCATTTGGAATTACAGGCGGTTTATATGTTAAAGAATTTCTTACAAGATTGGATGGTGGAAGCTCAAGGAGTCATTATTGAAGGAGATAACTTCAACATCATCAAATTTCTTCAACAAGCTTTGAAAAGATTCAAGAATAAAGAACCTATTGAGGATGACTTATCCTTTGTAAGTGATTTTAATCAAGTTGCTTTTAGTTTTACTACTAGAAACGGTAATAAGTTAGCAGATTGTTGCGCTAATTTTGCTTTGAGGAAAAGCTGTATTTGGCATGATCTTTCTAGTATTGAAATTCCTCCTTCATTCTTGTACATTTTGAAGGATGGATGATTTTAAATAGTTTGTAATAATTTTCTTATTTTTTCTTGTTCTAATGCATTGATGCATTTTCTCCTCAAAATGCATTCAATTAAAATCATCCTAATTTGATTTTCTAAATAAAAGAGAATAATCCTTTAAGGTATATTCTCCTTTCTTTAGATTCCAAATTGGATGTAATATCCAATTTTCAAAATCACTTTCACATTTATAATACTTTTCAAATACATTTACATTTACATTACATTTCATATAAAAAAAAATATAGACCACCTGCAGGGTTATCCTAAGCAATTTATAATAAAAATCATCCCAAATAGTTATATGTTTGCATTTTGAATTAAATCCACTAGCCACACTTGGACACACTCCTTTTTATTTGGGGGCTAAGCAGCTGAACCACTTGTAGCATTTATATGATTATTTATTAATTAGCCCCCTTTACTGCCCTGCACGAGTGTGGCCACATGCAGAAAATTTTGTTAACAATCAGATCGCTCCTAACCTATGGGTAATCTAATCGTCAATCAAATCATATCACGGAGTGCAGTAAAAATAAATAAACAAACACACCAACAATTTTACAACCAGCATGCAGTGAAAATCGAGAAAGAGTTTGTCACACAGCAGCAAGAAAGTAAACACCGGCCTAACCTAAAGCTAAAGTCGGTTGTCCTAGCAAACAAATCAAAGTGTGTGTACTAAGCTATGAGGTTATGATATGTCCTAGATCAATTATTGGCTAAAGTGTTCTAATTGATTGAATTTTAGTTTAAAGATATTCACTAATCTAATGTGAGATGTCACTAAATTTTTTATATTATATATTTCTATCCTAAAGTGTGCATGCATCATAAGTCTAGATTTTTTAAGACTCGGTCCTTAATTATTGTCCTTAAATGTCACTACTGTTGTATGTAATAAAAAAAAGAAGTTACTACAAGGACCTAATTGATAAGGATTCGCATAAATCACATCAAGATGCCCCTAAAGGTTTTCTAAGTTTAGAATACTCACAGTCACCGGGGGCTACGACCCGGTGGTTCCGCCCGTAGCACCTCTACCCAGCTGGATAGAGGCGACTGACGTCATTAGCTACTTGTACTTTTGTCCACTAAATTAGTACCGTTCCTCATAGTTTATGAAAATAAAGAGAAGAAAACAAGGAATTAGAAAGCACATTTAATAATTAATAATAAAATAATTGAAATTTACTGAAAATAAAGACGTACCTTTCTTTGTGCTTGATCACTGGTTTTGTTGACTTGGCTTTTGAAACCTTTCACTTTTGAACACATATTTCATATTTATTTCGAAGCATAAGAAAGTGGAAAGAGAGAGGGGTAGAAAAAGGAAGAGAACTTTTACCCTTCTTTAAAATTTTACTTTCCAAAAATCACTCAAACCCTTTTACTCCCAAACATCTACACAACCCCTTCTCTAAAACTCGCACACTTTCACCTTTTCAACTTTTTCATACATTTCATATTTCGAAATCATAAGAAGAAAACGTCCATGTATAGGATGAAACATGACTATATATACCAATTTCCACCAATCATGATCCATCAAATACACACACACACACACACTTTCAAAATACATATATGCTTTACTTTTCCAAAATATAGACAACTCACCATCTAAAGTTTACACATTTTATCTTTCAAAGTCTATCACCTTTCCTAAATATATACTTTTACTATTCAAAGTCCAAACATTTCACTACTCAACATACACTCTTTTCAAAATACTTAACCTTTCAAAAACACCCATTTTATTTAAAGAAAATGTTACAAAGTTCTTTTTTCACCTTTAAACTTAATACATCCAATAAATGCAACTCAAAGAAAGAACTAAAAAAATTCATCCCCTTTCAAAACCCATGAAGTTCTCCAAAAAAAAAAAAAACAGATTGAAGAGATATAAACCATTGACTACAAATTTTCAAAAAATAAAAAAATAAGGCATAAGATATCAATTCAGCGATGATCCAAAAAGAAACGGGCTAAATAAACAAAAGTAAAAATGAAAAAAAAAAGTGAAAGAAACCATCTAATTAAAAAGGAAAGAAAAGAAATTAACAACAAGCAATTGATCAGAAATCATGTAACTCGGATTTTATTAAGTAGCAGAAATAAGCAATTAAGAGTCGTGAGCCTCCGCAGTCCAAGTACTATATGCTCTCACGAGGCCTTTTGTGAGAGCACACCTATAACCTTATTGTCCTCGCCGATTAGGTTAAATTCAAGTATGATTGCCCAGAACATCGCCCTAAATAGAATCTGGTTGATGGAAATCATCCAGGACATCATCCCGACCGATCCTACGATCGGCCTAACCGATGTGATCATATCATCCAAGTCGATGTAGAGAACATCCTGGCTGATGTCCTAAAAAAATAATACTTAAATTGATCATAACGGTTGATTTTTTCTTATATGAGCCTATCGTTCTGACTGATATGAGAATCGTCCAGGATGATGTGCTTAATGACGGCTGCCTTAACCAGGATGCTCTAATTAAGATTTTTATTTTTAGTAGGATTGTTCTGGCCGATATGAACATCGTCCAGGCTGATTTAATCAAAATAGAAAAACACTGAAAATCCCTCAAGTGTGTGTATACAAGGTTAAATAGTGTCAGCAAACACTTTTATAATAAACTCAAGAAAAAGAAAATCATTATAGACTGACTCAAACTAAATCTACCCAAACTTGAACTGGTCTTGAATTGCGTTCGATCTTGTGGACCTGAAAATTTAGTAGGCAAGGCATTTGTACAAAAACATGAATGTTTGCTATCATCAAAAGTCTAATCCATATTCTTAGATTCACAACAATCACCCCCTTTTTGATGATGGCAAACATAATTAAAAAAGTTCAAGTAGTTTTTGGCAGTTTAATTAAAACAGTGTGACGAAAAAAAAAAGTTCACTTAAGTTCCAGAATCAAATTACATGATACATCAGACTACTCCCCCTTTTGACATCAGAAAAAAAAGGAGGAAAAAAAAAACAAAATAAAAATAAAAAATTGAATAGAAACTAAAATAACAAGCTACATAAAAACTAGCAAAGAAACAAAGTTTTTTTTTTCTTTTTTAAATCAAGGCATGAACATGATATTGTCTTCCATGTGATTGATTTTAAAAATTTGTAAGTTAATGAGTTAACAACATTAAAAATCCAAAAAATGGTAAAATATTCGATCATGTTAACCCTAAGTTCGGACTTCTTTTAGGGTAAAATCATCTTTTGAAATCAAAAGGTCTAACTTAGAAAAAATCAATTAGATAAGAAAAAGAGATCCGATCAAGACTTGGTTTCAGAAAAATATCTTATAGAATAGTATATCAAATTAGTTTATTACACTCGCTAAATTTGAAATCAAGTCCTTGAAAATCTCAAGTGATACATGAAATCTTCTAAGTTTTAAGAGTTAGAAGAAAGGAAGATATCTTGCTTTTTGATGGGCTCATTTTATGCCTCTTGTCCATTGAATGGCGCACTTTGTGCATCTTTTGATTTTTAATACACTTTGGGTGTTATTATTTTAAAAAAAAAATTGGCGTCATTGCGCATCTTTTGCTTTTAACATCATTGGCAACTTTTTTTATTATTTTTGCAAGCAAGATTCTTTTCCAGAAACTCTTAACTATTCTTAGTTATGAGTATATCTTCCATATATTATAGAAGAAAAACTCACTCTCTAATATAGGGAAGAACGAATCACAAAATAGAATAAAAAATCATATGAGAGATACATTGACAACATAATTGGATATCTTGAAGTAACATAAAAACTTTGATTATTATAAAAATAAGCTAGATTACTGTAGTAAGGTAGAAAAGATCTCAATTGCAAAATCCAATTGTTAATTTAAGGTAGACTTTTGTTTAGAAAAGAAAATTTTCAACACCAAAATAGGTTAGAGAAAGAGACACAATCAGTGGTGTTTTTTACACTTTAACAGATTGAAGAGATGTAAACCATTTACTACAAATTTTCAAAAAATAAAAACAAGGCATAAGATATCAATTCAGCGATTATCCAAAAAGAAACATGCTAAATCAACAAAATTAAAAAGACAAAAAAGTGAAGGAAACCATCTAATTAAAAAGAAAAGAAAAGAAATTAACAACAAGCAATTGATGAGAAAATCATGTAACTCAGATTTGATTAATCAGTAGAAGTAAGCAATTAAGATTCGTGAGCCTCCGCAGTCCAAGTATCATATGCTCTCACGAGGCCTTTGTGAGAGCACACCTATAAAATCATTAAATGTCAGATTTAGGAACCCAAATAGGTTTGGGTTCCTTCTTATGAAAAGAAGAATGGGATGCATGAGTGTTATGCAGTGAATTTTGCAATTTGGGTCTCCACACCAAATTTGTACTAAGGTGAATGGTGCAAGTATGTGCTATGTATCCTAACATGCCACATGAAAAACATCTAACTCCAGGAAAATAATTTCTTAATCGTTTCGGGTTATAATGCCTCTTCCTAGTTTTTGGCTTTAAATCAGATATTGATGTATTCCAATTTCTCTCAAGTGTATTAAATTTTCCTTTAAACCTCAAGTGAGAATTTTCTAAATCAATCTCCAAATAGTGGGTTTTATGCTCATATTCTTAAGTAGAAGCTTTAAAATTAGTTTCAAGCGAGGTGTAGGAAGCTTTCAAAGAATCATGCTCAATTATTAATTCAGAATGATTTTTATTTAAATCATCAAATTCATCAAGTAGTACTATCAATTTGAAAGTGATCTTTACTCAGAATTTCATGATCTTTTTGTAAGTTCAAAAACTCCAATTTCAAACTAGCGTGAGTTTTCTTGAGTTTTTTATATGATGCATGAATTTTCTCACATATTTCAAGCAATTGGTCATAGGTTGGTTGGAATACCTCTTCTTGGTCAGTTTGTTCAAAATCATCAGCCATTAAGCATAAGTTTGTTGTCTCCTCTTCAGGTTCAGTCTCAGATGTGTTAGATGTAGACTCCGCCCAGAA